AAAAAAAAAAAAAAAAAAAAAAAAAAAAAAACTGTAGTAACATGGACTATTTTTGTTTAAATAAATAAAACGACATCGCACTGGTTGATAATGCATAAACAAGGAGGACCAAATAATCCAGTGAATACTGGACTATTTTTGTTTAACGCTGAGCCGCTGAGGTGGTTCATTTCTACTAATAATAAAGCCAATACAAGATAAAGAAGAAGGCCCTGGTTCTGTTCATTTCCAAACTACAAAGACGAACAAACAAACAAAACTGAGCTCTCTCTCTCCCTGTGTTTCTCCATTCTTCTTCGTATCTTTTTGGGTAAACGCACCTTCCTCTTTTCTCTATTCATTTCTTGTCCTGCACTCAGTTCTTTCAACTTTTTTGTTGTTGATAATTTAGATTTCTTTTATCTGCAATTCTCAATTTCAATCTTTGCATGCATAGCCTGTAAAGGATTAACCGATTGGAAACTGCTTTGTATGATTGAGAACAGATGAAAAGATTATTAATTTTATTCTCAAGGACCCCACTCTCGCTCTGAGAGTGAAGGGCAGTATTTGAATCTGAAATAGTCAACGGAGATTTGACTGTCTGGCCCTGGACCATTAACTGCAGCTGTTTCTCTTATTTCAATCTCTTAAAAGCTGCAGCCTTTCTGTTTTTGTGGTTATGGCAATCATTCAATATCTGGGTTCCAACGATATAACAGTCACAGACACCGATTGATATTTGATGTAGGATATTATGTTTCTATGTGTTTCGTGTTATATTTATATTTCTTGCATGCCAATAAGCTGAGGCAATTTCGGAGGGAATGGTTGGTTCTGTTAGTTTTAACGAAACTGATGTTTTATGATGGTATAGTTAACAATGAGCTCCGAGAGCGCAAATGAGAACTGCCTTGGATATGCTGCAAGGGATCCATCTGGAGTTCTATCTGAATACAAATTCAGCCGCAGGTTTGTTTTCAATCATTTTTACTGTCTATAAATTGCATGTATTAACTTCTCAATGAAAGATAACAATAGAAGACACTGCCTCTATCTTGTTGCAACACTTCAGAATTCCAACTTCTCAATTGATCATGAATCATGATCTGTTGATGGGAAGGCTTCTCATTGTTGCAATAGCATCAAGCTTTCAAAATGTTGGCCTTCTAGATTGTTACTTGCAATAAAGATCAAATTTTATGAATTTCTTGTCATTCCATTAGTTTCATAATGCCTTCTAGTTAATCGTTTGTCATTTGGTTCGGGTGCTTTCTTCAGGTGTCTTGGGATTGATGACATTTCCATAAAAATTACCCACTGTGGAGTTTGTTATGCTGATGTCATTTGGGCAAGAAACAAACATGGAGACTCAAAGTATCCTTTGGTGCCCGGGTATGTCGACTGACTGTATGATGGATAAATATCTAACTTTTGTATTTTCCTTCTAAAACTTGTGGTTTGTGGCTATTTGCAACCAGACATGAGATTGCAGGTATTGTGAAAGAGGTAGGTTCCAATGTTCATCGCTTCAAAGTTGGGGACCATATCGGAGTGGGAACTTATGTCAACTCATGCAGAGATTGTGAGTATTGTAATGAGGGATTTGAAGTCCATTGTGTAAAGGGTTCAGTCTACACTTTTAATGGTGTTGACACGGATGGTACAATTACAAAAGGTGGATACTCCAGTCATATAGTTGTCCATGAAAGGTGTGAAATCTATGAAGCCAAATGCCTTTTGCATCCTTTTTTCTTGTGTTAATAAACTTTATACAATTCATGACTAGACAATCAGAATTCCTTTGCTCTCCTCATCTTAATCTTTCTGTGGTTGTAATTCTGTTCACCAAATGCTTTTCTAAAGTGGCATAATTCCAAGTTCATAACATGCCTCTATGAAATCATCTTACAGGTACTGCTTCAAGATACCTGACAACTATCCATTGGCTTCAGCAGCACCTCTGCTTTGTGCTGGAATTACTGTTTATGCTCCTATGAAGCGCCACAAGATGAATCAACCTGGTAAATCTCTAGGAGTGATTGGTCTTGGTGGTCTCGGTCACATGGCAGTGAAGTTTGGGAAGGCATTTGGTTTACATGTAACAGTTTTCAGCACAAGTGTATCGAAGAAAGAGGAAGCCCTAAGCCAGCTTGGTGCAGATAAGTTTGTGGTCTCATCTGACCAAGAGCAGATGACGGTAAAAATACATAGATTTTCTTATAAAGCAAGCGGTTTTTTTTTACCTGATCAGTGATCATATGAAAACAATAGAGATGACTTATTCTTTGGTTTAATATTTATTGGTTATCGTTTTCTATGCAGGCCTTGGTGAATTCATTGGACTTTCTAATTGATACAGCATCTGGTGATCATCCATTTGATCCATATATGGCATTGTTGAAGACTGGTGGAACTCTGGTCTTGGTGGGATTCCCCAGTGAAGTCAAATTCAGTCCTGCAAGCCTCAATCTGGGTACTTTTGCATTTTTCAAATGATTGATATTTTGGTTTCATATATCCAACTCTCTTGGTAGTGGTAAAGTTGCAAGTATAATGAACTCGTGCATTTACCTTTTGGCAGGTATGAAAACCATCTCTGGCAGTCTGACAGGCGGAACGAAGGATACGCAAGAAATGATAAATTTCTGTGCTGCTCATGAAATTCACCCAATGATTGAAATAATTCCAATTCAATATGCAACGGAAGCTCTCGAGAGGCTAGTAAAAAAAGATGTGAAATACCGGTTTGTAATTGATATTGAAAACTCCCTGAAATGAGGCCGTAAAAGAAAAGAAGATTTCCCTTCTTGATACATATTAGTAAATTCGTATATTCCATATTTCGAACTAAAAGCATCTACCAGCATTCATTTATAGTTGGGTGGTGATCATTTACCCTTTGTGGAATTGCATCTGGGATTTGGTCTTCTGCATCATTATAAAACTGAAATCTTTTACATCAACTGTTCTTATGACCATTTTCTTTCACTAATAACAGGATTCATCACTGAAGTATCATTATGTATTTAATCACCTGCAGAACCCTTGGTTGCTTGTGAAAATAGGGCAAGAAAAGAAGATTGCAACGATGCACAAAAGCATATCCTGGTGGTAAAGTGATAACAGAGCCCAAAGCCTCAGGGTTAAATACATTTATGATTAGTGGCCTGGCCTCCCAAGAAAGAGAAAACCTTTAATAATCATTTCCAGAAAGTGAAGATAAGAGAACCACTAGTGCAGAAAAGTGTACCCGCCATGTAAGAATTGGAAAATAAGAAAAATATGGAAACAGACAGGCATCTATACCAATATAAAAAATGCAACTAATGGCTAAAGGCTCTGCTAAACGGTAGAAAGACAAAAGAAGTGGTGAGATGATCACCAACAAGTGCGTCGGAAATGAAAATTCAGTGTCATTATAAAATGAAAAATGATCATCATTGAGATATCAGTAAACCAGTCATGTAAGAATTGCTCAACTAACCCGGATATATTATAATCCTGCTGCTGTATGAGTGTTGATTAATGGCTAATATATTCAGATTCCATTTCTCATGAGGAATAATGATCCAGTGATGACAAAGCATATACCAAGCTGAAGCTGAGTTGGTGAATTTGCTATATATAGAACATCAAAATAGTATAGCCGCGCGGCTATACTTGGGCATTTTGTTATTTTTAAAACAATAGTATAGCCGGCCGGCTTTACTACGGTAATTGTGTTTTTTAAAAATAGTATACCCGAACAGGCTGTACACGAAATTTTTTTTAAATAATATAGCCGCGCGGCTTTACCACTGCTTTTTAAAAAAAATAGTTTAGCCGCACGGCTATACTTGCTTTCACACGTGGGCACCTAGGCGCTAGCGGGTCCCTTTTTTTTTATATAAATATTATAGCCGCACGGCTATACTTGGGAATTTTTTTATAAAAAAAAAGTATAGCAGGACGGCGTTACTGCAGTAATATTCTATTTTTAAAAACAGTATAGCTGTGCGGCTATACTTATTTTGACATGTGGGCTCCTAAGCTCTAGTGGGTCCCTTTTTTTTTTTTTTCTATAAATAGTATAGTCGAGCGGCGATACTCGGGAATTTTTTATAAAAAATTTAAAAATAGTATTGCCGCGCGGCTATACGTGGGTATTTTGTTTTTATTAAAACAATAGTATAGCCGCTTGGCGTTACCACGGTAATTTTGTTTTTATAAAACTAGGTTCTCTTTTTTGTTTTTATATAAAGTATAGCCGTGCGGCTAGACCCGGGATTTTTTTAATTTGTTTTTAAAAATAGTATAGCCGTAGGCTGTACTGCAGTAATATATTTTTTTTCCAAAATAGTATAGCCGTGCGGCTATACGTATCTTGACACGTGGGTGCCTAGGCGCTAGGCGCTAGGCGCGAGGCGGGTCCCTTTTTCTATGAATAGTATAGCCGGGCGGCTATACGATTTTGAAGAATCATTTACAACACCGAGTTTAGCCGCGCGGCTTCTCATTGCAGCTTTCTCCTCAACCTTTCAGAATGTTGCAATTGTGATCAGTCATAAAAGTTGAGAACTTATTACGATAATTACATCATACGATTTTCCGTGAAGGTCGACTTATTATGAATATATTCTAATTCATCATGGCTCTTGGCACTGATGATGTTTCCATAAAAATTACCCACTGTGGAGTTTGCTATGCTGATGTAATTTGGAGCAGAAACCAACATGGAGACTCAAAGTATCCTGTTGTCCCTGGGTATGTGGACTGATTCTATAACAGATAAATTAAGTAACCCTTAATTTATTCTCCTTCTAACCAGACATAAGATTGCAGGCATTGTAACAGAGGTGGGTTCCAATGTTCAGCGCTTCAAAGTTGGTGACCATATGTCAACTCATGCAGAGATTGTGAGTAATGCAATGATAGATTTGAAGTCTATTGTGTAAAGGATGCCCTTTACACTTTTAATGGCGTTGATGCTGATGGTACAATCACAAAAGGAGGATACTCCAGTCATATAGTTGTCCATGAAAGGTATGAATTGAACTACCTTTTTGCACTTTCCTCAAATTTCTAATGGCCTGTATTACAGGTACTGCTTCAACATACCAGAAAACTATCCATTGGCTTCGGCAGCCCCTCTACTTTGCGCTGGAATTACTGTTTATGTTTCGATGGTACGCCATAAGATGACCAACCTGGTAAATCTCTAGGGGTGATTGGCCTTGGTGGCCTAGGTCACATGGCAGTGAAGTTTGGCAAGGCATTGGTTTGAATGTAACAATTTTCAGCACTAGCATATCAAAGAAAGATGAAGCTTTAAGTCAGCTGGGTGCAGATAACTTTGTGGTCTCATCTGACAGAAATCAGATGAAGGTAAAAATACATAAAGTTTCTTACCTCATCACATGAACAATAGAAAAAATAGTGGAAATGATGGCTTATCCTATAGGTTTAGTATTTATTTGTTATTGTTGCTATGTAGGCCCTGGTGAAGTCATTAGACTTTATAATTGATACAGCATCTGGTAATCACCCTTTTGATCCATACATGGAACTATTGAAAACTGGTAGAGTTCTGGTCTTGGTGGGATTCCCCAGTGAAGTCAAAATCAGTCCCGCCAACCTTCATATCGGTACATTGGCATGTTTCAAATGATTGAAATGACAGTTTTATATATCCAACTGTTATTGCAATTGCAATTATATATAATGAACTCCACGCATTGACCTTTTGGCAGGTATGAAAACCTTTTCTGGTAGTGTAACAGGTGGAACAAAGGATATCCAAGAAATGATAGATTTCTGTGCTTCAAATGGAATTCATCCAATGATTGAAATAATTCCAATTCAATCTGCAAATGATGATATTGAGAGGCTACTAAAAAGTGTTGTGATATACCGGTTTGTGATTGATATTGAAAACTCCCTGAAATGACACCATGAAAGAGAACAAGGATTTCTCTAGTTGATTTGTATTAATAAGTTCATATGGATTGGACTGTAGGGCTCAAACCATTATCAATTTTGCAATCATTTGTAGTTAGGTAGTGTGCATTTACCTCTCTGAAATTTTATCTGGGATTGATCTTCTGTATAATGTGTAAAAAGAAACTTAACTCTTATGATCATGTCCTTTATCTAGTGACTGGATTTATGACTGAAATATCATTCTCCAGCACTTTATTGTCTTCAAGTACCCCTTTTCCATTCTCTGTCTGTTCAGCAACAAGATTGTCTTTCCTCTTTCCCCACAGCACACAGTAAAGGCCCGCGATAATGAGAAACGCTCCGATCAAGCTGCACACCACCACTTACACAAAATCCACATTAAATTTGTGACCTTTTTTTCATGACAAACAAACTACCGTGATAGAATGGATAAATCAAACCATCAAATTTGGAAGTAGTAAGATGGAACAGGAAGAAGGTGTTTGTGTTCTTCAGGTTACCTGCCAAAGTGAAGTCGCTCTGCAAAAGCAATTGCCGAGAACAATGCCACTATAATGACTTGAAGTGGACTAAACATAGCTGCAAAAACTGGTCCCTTGTAACTGATGCACCATGTTTGCAGGTAGTAGGCTAATGCTGAGATTACAACTCCCTATTGCAAAAGTAAGGAGTGGATGAAGACCGGAACTTGTGACAGATTCAAATATATCTTATACCAACAAGGAGAAAGACACCCAACAAGACACAACAAAATAGGATGTCCCATTGATTTACTTTATACGCACACACAAGACAATGTTCTCTTCTACATGTTCTGCTGTGAGGTTTTTAAATCGAGCCACAGATTCGGATAAGAATTTGCATGATCAATTGTTGAAATCGACGTTGTGAACCTAATAATAAGATATGAGAAAGAGAACACTCACGCAGTAGACGATGGTTAAAAGTTGCAGGTTCCACTCCAGTCTCCATGAAATTGGATTTCTTGCCAAAAACAGGGCAAGAAAAGAAGATTGCAACGACGCGAAAAAGCATATCATTGTGGTCAGCGATAATCGAGCAGTGTAGACTTTGGAGACCACAGCCTGTGAGACCAGAGAGCCAGAGTTGGACAAAGAACTAAACTTGGACATTACATAACATACAAAGGGTGTCATCTTAATTCAATAATAAAATCACCTGGAGGATTAGCCATGCACTCCATGCAATGTGACTCATCAGAATAAGAAGAGCCCCCTTGATCCAGTTTTCCTTAACATGCCTCATCTCACCAACAGATATATTTATCAGTGGCCTCTTTACAAAACCTTTAAATAGGTATCCTCCTTTCCAGAAAGTGAAAACAAGAGAACCACCAATGCAGAGAAGTGTGCCAGCCACCTTAGCTTGACCTCTAGCAGTTCTAATCTTCAACTTCTCCAACCTGTGTAGGAACAAGCAAGTTGCAGAACAGGAAAAAAGAACATTTATATTCCCCTTTCTAATCAAGCAAGGGAAAGGAAAGGACAGAGAATATACCCAAGTAGAACTGCCATTAGAAATGTCAAGCTGGGAATAACATTACTCAAGGCACATGCAACTGTTGGAGAAGTGTATGCTAAACCAGCATAGTACACATTCAGATGGATGGTGGTTCCAAATAATGCAAGCACAAAAATTTTTGCAGCTACAGAAAATGAAAGTGCAGGCCTTTGCTTCCTGCTTTGCAAATCCATTCAAGAATTAGTTTTCTCTGTTTTTACAGCCTGGAAATATGAAGAGATGCAAGAATAAATTGATAGCTTACCTTTCAAGTACATAAGCAAATGGTCCTACCAAAACCATGGCCATAACATGCCGGTAAACGACGAAGACAATCGGATTGAGTCCTTCTGCAAGGGAGAATTTTATGAGGATGTTTGATCCACCATATATGAGCTGAACCAGTACCATTGCCAAGTAATAAGAGCATCCCTCCATTGATATGGATATGAAACTTTCTTGGACTAGTTTAAAATTGGGATCACTGCTTCAAGTTTTAATGGGTTGGGTTTTTAGTGGAATTCACAATCAGTTTACCAATTCTAAAAAGGCATGACACCTTACTTTTCCAGGGTTTAACTTACTTGATGGTGCAACTATAAAGAGCCACTTTTGGGGCATTTTTATTAGTGGAAATTATTTTAAGTGTAAGTGAGGTGTTCTTCCAGATTTTGGCTCAAAGACAAACATTTAAAAAATGAAGATTGTGCAAATGAAAGATTTGCCATCACATTTCTCACTTTAAAATCAAAAACCTGCATAAAATATTCCCAGGATTCCACAATTTATGTTTGGGAACAGAAACCCAAAATATAGTAAAACTTACTCATCAAAATTTCCATACAAGATTAAAAAAAAAGAAAAAGATGAAAAACTCAAAATCAAAATCAGAAAAGCACTCTAACAAGTACAAATCCCAAAAATCTAATCACTCCTCTTCAGCTATCGTCCTCTTCTCACTCACATAAATCCCATCAAGAAACTTCCTAATATCCTTTTTCTTCACATGGCACTTCTGGTTTATGAGAGCAGCAGACCTCGACACCAATTCGATGTCGTTTCCATCCAAAACCAGCTCGTCCTTCACCTTCTCAGACCGGTAGATGTTCACGCCCTGAAGCATCTCCACCTTCCTCACCTTCTTCTCGCCCAAGAAGTTTCTGATCTCGATCGCGTTGTTGGAGTTGGGGATCGAAGCGTTGATCGGAAAGTGAGCGTAGACAAATCTCATCTTATACCTGTAGCCCTTGGTGACGCCGGTGATCAGATTCTCGACGTGGCTGATAGCCGTTCTGATGGCGGCGCTGGTCTTGCGTGTCCCGAACCAGGCTTCGATCTTCAGCTTCTTTTTCCCGGTGGCCTCGTCGGTGATGAGATCGAAGTCCAGGTTCAGGTGCTTGAAGTTTCGGGTCAGCTTTCCTCGCGGACCCTCCACCTCTATCACCTTCGCCTTCACTTTTATGGTCACCCCGTCGGGGATCTCCATGGAGTCCGAGGATAGTATCGTCTTCATCTTCTTCTTCTTCCTCCTCTGGTTTCAGTGTCTCAGGACCGGCGCCTCCCACAAACCCTAAAACCCTAGGGGGGACGGCCATGTATATATAGAAATGAATTTCACACGGACACCAAGCGTCTTCTCCATCGTGGGCTACATTTAAAACTTCAAACTTCAAGGCCCAATCACAAATGAGAAAAAAGCGTCTTCTCCCGATCACTAAAAGGAAAAATATGAATAAAATACCTGAATATATTACTTGATAAAATTATAAGGAAAATACAGTAAAAATACATACAGTATATAGCATTCGGTATTGTATTGTTATTTATTTAATATTTTTAATTTATAACATTTTTATTCAATAATATGTGATATATTTGTATAATATGTGAATTTAATTTATAAATACCTGCAAAACACAAGTAAACTTACATTATGCTTTTTTGGAAGTACACTTGTAACCCTTTTGTTTTTCGTTTTTTGTTTTCAATTTAATTATTACTCTCAAATTGTATGAAAGAGTTGGACTTCAAAAAATACCTACTTGAGAGATAAGTTAGAGACGGAGACAATTGTGGATGGGAATGGAAATGCCATGGCAAAACAAAAAAATTAAGAATGGAGAAATTTTGTGTATAAAAAAACCATGATTAAAAGAATGCAAACAATTTCAGGGTTAAAAAAAAATAAACCTTTTTTTTTTTTTCCACTTTTCACACCAAATTCAGTAAACTCAAATATGAATTTTGACCCAACCAATATTCTCTGCTTCACCATCAAAACACCAAGTAAAAATAAAGACCAATAATGACAGTGAAAAGAATGGAAATGTAAGACAAAACACACGACTCTAAAACCCATAACACAACCAACACACCAGTAATATAGTCAGAGCACCAACATCGCTTCCAAAGCTATATACGGTACCACTTATCCCTAAGTTCTATACAATTCCAAAATTAATCTTCATCCATGACAAAACCCTTGGTCGGAAACACACAAAAGACCACCACATATTTAACACATCGACTCCATCTTCCGTCAGCAATCTTGGGCACCATTCACATCCCAGTCGTCTTCATCTCCCAACTTGTACTCACTGAAGTGGCTTACCTTGAACTTCCACTCTCCTTTCAAGGGGTCATATGAGACAAACTCTGCACCTTGATCCTCCGCTTTCTTCTTCAACATCTGCTTGTATTTTTCAGTTTTTGGCCCTTCTGTAAACCGGCGCCCTGTTTTTTTGTCCATGCATGTAATGTTGAGAAGTGTTACCTCAGCAGGTTTATTGAGGCCTTGCCCGACAGGAGGTTTCTTGTTGTCATCCATGTACACTATCACCTCCCGATTGTTAAACTGCACCACGGATTCCAGATCAAGGCGTCTCACATCTGTCTCACCAAAGAACTTGATGCTACCATAGTCAACTCGTCCGACCACAAAGTCCTTGACGTGACAGCAGAACCCAGGTTCTGCCCTTTCCTTCGCCGCCAATTCCTGGATTCGAGGCTCTGTATAGTAGTCAGAGCGCCGGAGCTTTGGCATTAGTGCCTCAATGTCAGCGCCATGCTCATATACAATAGCAGCCTCACCGGCTCTATGCCCACTCAGTGTCATATACGAGTCCCCTTTCTGAATAGAATGATCATCATGGACTCCGTTAGGTTTCTGGTTGGCTTTGACATGATTCACACGCTCTTTGACAATGCCATCTTCATGTGGAATTTCTGAAACAACATAAAGCAAATCTGTCAACACTACAAACACTATTCAACTGAATGCATTATGGCTCAATATGTTTTGCATCATCAGGTCAGTATTTCTTGCTTACAGCTCATGACTTTAAAATACAACCACAGCAAAACAAAAGGACAGGCGTCTTATGTTACTTACTAAATACACCAAAAAATACAAGAAACTACTAGCTATACAGTAAATGGCACAAAAACCTTAAGTTATAAAAACATACACTCACTACCTTTATCCTCAGAATTGGAGCAACCTAAGAAGGGATTACATGCTTCTCCCATATTTTTTCCTGAATCAATAAGTGTTCAGTAGAGTCGACAATATGCTCATTCACACTAAATGAATTTGATAAAATTTTTAAAACTTTCAACATTTGTGCATAATGATGAAAATACAAATAAAAAATAAAAAACCCAGGACCTAAAATGCCTAATAAATAGTAACTAGCTGCATTACATACTCATTGTATATGCCATTACAAAGTTGAACCCACACATGAAGAAGCTGCAGTGAAAAGGCAAAAGAAATACAAAGCAAAACTACAATTTAAAGTGTCACCCGTTTTAGGGAATATTGACAAAGGAAGGCACAAAGAGCAGACAAGAAAGCCATAATGTGCTACTTGTCCTAGCACTTCTAATACAACTCAAATGACCGCCACACAAGTAACAGAACTTACCATTCTCATGCACCGGAGTAGAAGTATCCTTTAATGGGGATGCTTTCTCAGCACTGGCCCTTCGAGGCCACTGTTCTTTGGGACGAATGACGAGTGCTCTTGGGTTTTCCCTGGGAAGGAAAAGAGCATCCGCCTTGGGGGTATTGACTGTTTCTTCATCATCAATAAAGAAAGGGAACTGCAAAACAAAAGAGAAAAAATGTGTAAGCACAATATTCATATGTAGCCTGAATAGGAAACCTAATACTGATTAATTTAACTGTTCACACGAATCATATCCTCACCCTTTGATCATCATTCTTAGGATAATATTTTCTCACAGGCAATCTGACCCGCCTTTGAGTCAGGTGTCGAGAAGTCACTAAAGATGATGACATTCTAGCAGGCGCCAGTTTGTCTACAACCTGGCAGAAAAACAAAGTGAATGTCATATTCCATTTTCCTTCACAGGACATTTAAGAAAGTATCCATCGAATTGAAATCACAACCACATAGATGTGATTCTCAATAGAAACTAACACTTACGTCAACTTGAATCTCAAATTAAACAAAACAACATTATAAGAAATTCATCTTACAGGCATGCTTGAAATCCCATATTGAATTGATGGTGCAGTTCCACCACGACCAATTGACATCTGAGGCATCGCAGGGAGCGTTCCAAATGGATTGGTAGCAGGTACTGGTTGTACAGCTGCAGAGCTTTGAGTAGCAGACCTGTAAAAAACAACAGATATAGTTTTTTTTTTTCCGGTCCAGATCTTAATTGGAAACTTCCAAACGGAAAAATAAACAGAAGACAACTCCATATAGCTTAATCCATGGACATTTAAAACAAAACAAAAACCCTATGTAGCTTAAAGTTGCCCAAAGACCTCCCAAACTAGATAAAGCTACATGAGATTAGGATAAGAACATCGTCTTAGACAAAATTCCAACATTTCATATACTCCGAAGTTGGGGATTATTCATCATTAAATAACCAATTAAATCAACAAAATAAAAATAACTCTCCTACTCAAAAGCTAAAATTACAGTCACCCTTTTTTAGATGAACAGGAATGAATATACTACGACATTCCCCATCAATGAGATTTGTTTTGTCCCAAAAATGTCTGCAACTTTTAATCAACGTAAATGAAACAAGAGGACACACCACTATGATTCTACAAACTTGCATTCAAATACAATTAGCAGTGAAGACATACACACAAGAGTTATTAACCACATGAGATATGAGTCACATGACTTACAATTGTCCAAAGTTATTCTGCCCAAGAATTCCCGCTGAACCACCCAAGCCACCTGTATTGCCTACGAAGCAAAGACAACCATTGATAAAGTCAGCACCATCAACAGAAGAAAAAAAGAAGCTCAAAGGCTATATTGCTTGAAAAAATATAAGCATGTCCAAAACAGATGATACCTGGCTGAATTTGACTAAAACTGTTGAATCCAAACCCACTGTTCTGAGGAGGTTGAGATGGCTGGAAAGGCGTAGGAAAAGAAGGCTGCACGGGCAAGATATGGGTGAAAAATTAACTAAAATTATCAATTAAAACCTGCTTCAATTAATAGGAAAAGAAAAAAACTTACAGTTGGTTGACTAAAACCCATCAGGTTGCTTGTAGCACTAGCCGTAGAGGAGCTCCCCAAACCATAGCCAGTAGAGGGAGTATTGAATGCATTTGATTGACCAAATGGAGTCGTGTTCTGCCCAAACGAAGTGGTACTTAGTCCAAAAGTACTACCTGTCTGTGCAACTGGAGCAGTGGAATTGAATATTCCCGTATTAAATGTGGAATTTGATGTTTGAGCTGGAGCAGAAAATGAAAATGTGGATGGCGCTGATGAAGTAAAGAGAGACGGAGATGAGGTTTGTCCAAAACCCGAAGGAGATGATGATGGGGTAAAAATATTGGTTGAAGTAGAAAGCCCAAAAGATGATGAACTGAATGGAGTAGACGATGTTCCAAAGCCGGTAGAAGGGAAGGATGGAGTTTTTGGAGTAAACAAATTTGGTGCAGTTGCGGTATTAAAAGGACTTGTAGATGCTTGAGGAAATGATGATGCAGTATTCAAAGAGTTTGGTTGTGCCGCAGACATGCCAAAGCCACTCCCACCAGCAGGAGCTGGACCACCTGGAAGTTAAAAGTATAATGTTTAGAACCTAATAAACGTCATAATTGCTGACGACCGCGGCAACTTTTCAAACAACTAGCAACATACCTTTATCTCCCAATTGATAATCCTCCCAGCGAAGTTCTTCGTGACTTTTGTCTTTATATACTGGCATTGCTGATATTGACTCCAATTTTGCAGCAGTAGCCCCACTACCACCATCTGGTTCTGGAGTTTCTGTATATGCAGCCACTCTACTACCCCCACGTTGTTGGCCCCCAAAACCTGACTGCCCAAAGGTATTGTTCCCCAATGGTGTTGGCTGCGCTCCTGCATCACAAATTATAAGAATATAATACAGATACAATGGCACAAAGCAAAATGAGGCATTCCTTGACTGTAATGAAAGACAATAAGATATTCCTTGACCAGCAAAACATTAGTCCAGTTTTTTTTTCAAAATGTACCACCACTCATATACATCTAAACTTACTCACCGAATGGAGAACTCTGTGCTCCAAATGGAGATGAGGCACTACCAAATGTAGAATTTGATTGGCCAAAAGCAGGAGCTGATGTAAAGCTGAAAGATGGAGTACTGGATGAACCAAAACCAGGAGCACTTGATGCACCAAAACCTGGATTGCTTGAAGTACCAAAGGTGGATCCAGATGAACCAAAAGCTGGGGTGCTTGAAGCCCCAAATGCTCCCGTAGATCCAAACACGGAGGAATTTGACACCCCGAATGCAGATCCTGTGTTTCCAAACGTAGGACTTGTTGTGGAACCAAAGGCTGGACTGCTTGTAGCCCCAAAGGCTGGGGGGGTGCTAGTAGCCCCAAAGGCTGGGGGGTTGCTAGTAGCTCCAAAGGCCGGGGTACTTGTAGCACCAAATGCTGGGGTGCTTGTAGCACCAAACGCTGGGGTGCTCGTAGCACCAAAGGCTGGGGTGCTCGTAGCACCAAAGGCTGGACTACTTGTACCACCAAAGGCTGGGGTGGTGGTAGCACCAAATGCTGGCTGACTTGATCCACCAAATGGTGTGGTGGAACCAAATATTCCGCTCCCAAATGCTGGCTGTGATGGCTGAGTTGTGCTTCCAAAAGGACTTGGTTGAGTAGTATTGGACCCAAATGCTCCAAAAACAGGCTTCTGACCAAAACCAGATGAACCTGTTGAGAGAGTGAGAATCATTAGTGACAACAAGTTATCCAAATAACAAAGATTTGGGCACAGAGAGATGAATGAAAAGGAACATGTTAACCAAATAACAAAGCAATTTTGTAGATTACGCATCCATTATAATTATATGTAGATTGTTGATGAGCTTCTAAAATGGAGGTGACCTCAGCAAGCAAAAGAAAACACACGCCGGTGCAAGACAAATATATAAAGCTGCAAGTATAGATTAAGAAGTAAAGCTCCTCTAATTGAGGTGAACAAATGTCTGCTTAAAATACAAGATGAAACCAATCCCTCATGCAAAAATCAGAGCACCTAACGATATAATAATCATACCTCTTCCACTCTCAAAGTCTTAATTACACTCATGATATTTCTTAATACTTGAACCCTAGTCCTCTATTATATACATTCAATCTAATCCAATACATGTGTGCATGCATCAAATAACCAGAAACCTAAACAATAATCTATTTACTTACACACAAAAGGAAAGATCATCCAAATTCATCTGGTAAAGAAATAAGTCCATGGCATGACAACAACAAAAAACAGTTGAAGTTCTAGCCCAATAAAAAAATTTGTTCCACACATCAGCTGTTAGACCCCATCTCATACATAAGTCCTTTACAAGTTAGCACTACACCAAAAAATGTATACTGAACAAAAAAAATTTGACAACATAGCCATCACACACAGAAAGCATAATCCACTTATATATAGCATTAGATTTGAAAATACTCAATAACCTCATAAATTCCCAAGAAAACTCAGTATAAACCTGGGGACATTGTAAACAAATTTCTAATAACCATATTTCACAGTAATTACATTAAAATGAATCACTTGAAAGGTGGTGAGGGAGCACAAAATGTAGAAATTTAAACTAACTCAATCAACTTACCACCAAACGGTGATGGTGAACTATTGAAAGCTGGACTAGAAGCTGCTCCAAAAGCAGGAGTTGTATTTCCAAAAGCTGGTGAGGATGAAGCACCAAAGGTCGTTGAGGAAGGAAAAGGTGAAGAAGATTGAGCTGCACCAAATACACCAGTTGAAGTGCCGCCAAATATGGAACTACCTGTTTGGGCACCGAACGGAGTTGTGCTACCAAAAGGCTTGGGAACAAAAGGATTGTTATTTGTGTTGCTGGTCTGCCCAAAGACCGGTTGGGATGCAAACGGGCTGCTAGATGACTGCCCAAAAGCTGCTAAACAATGTTCCACACATTGAATTATTAATTTTCGTGAGAAAAAAAAAATTCCAATCACAATGATTCTTCAGGGAGTAAAAGCAGTACTAACAGAACACCAGATAAACATAAACATAATCATAGCCCAACACTGATAGCAAATGCATGTCATGTTCATCTTAGAATGAAACAAATAAAACAGGAATGACCAATTACAGGCCCTATATGCATCTTCAAAATTCATAGTCTTAAAATCACCACCAAGTTCATAGGACCAGAAGGAGAATTTCACGAAGACAAGGGTAGTCCTCATAGAACTATCACCAACAATTTATTAGGGGCCTGGAGGACATAAAAAACAGTAGCCCCGAAACAAAGAAAACTGCAAGGGGGAGAAAGATAAAATAAAAAAAGGTTTTGAGCATTATACAAGTATATGTGTGAGCAAGCACACAAAAAAATGCACAGAGGAAGGAAAGAACAAATAAAATTATACTCGTCGTTGACGTTGAAAGAAAACAACAGTAAAATCTAGAAAACACATGAGCAGAAGAAACGATATGTGTGATTAAAAAAAACATAGAAAACAATTATTCAAATATGGAATGAATTGAAAAACATTGAATGCAGTTAGGATGAGAAAACAAAATCAAACTCAAGGATCAAGTAAAAGATAGAGAAAAGAAGCTTACGGTTAGTAGAACCAAACATCTTCTCTTACGATTCTGTATTCAAAATCAGGGCTAGCTTGTCGATCTCAAGCTGAAACAGAAACAGAACACAAAGTTAACACAAATTTCATCACAAACTCATATTTAACAAGGCAACGAGAATCTAACAATGCGAGAAATCGCTCAAACACAAGTCGAAGGAACGCGACCCATTGCAGAAATCAGAAAACCAGAGCATCAATACAATAAAACAGAAATTAAACGCAATCGTAAACCTGATAAACAAACTAAAACCGAAGGCTAGGGTTTTCGAAGTACCTAAAGTGAGCGAAGGCGATGGAGAAGAGCGAATGTGGAAGTAGGGTTTCGAAAGAGGAACTGGGCGTCGATCTGAAGACGACAAGGGCTTCGAGTTGTGAGATCGAAAGTGACGAAATGGAAAGATACGGGAGAGAGGGAAGGGTTTGAAGTCGCAGAATGATTGATGGCTTGGCTTGCAATCACCCAAAGTCTCGCTCGTCGATGTCAGAATTGGTGAAGCCAAAAGCTATTTACACGAGTGTGGAGGCGCGTCGCGTTAGAACTAAGCACGCATAATAGCGTAAAAAGTAAGTCCGTAATTATATATCTACCGCTTTGGTTCCGACAAAATGAAAATGAATTAGTTTTTCGTTTTTTATTTTTTGTGAGAGTAAATTAGTTTTTTTTTTTAGTTGTTGCTTAAAAGAAGCGGAAATTGACTAAGTCGGATTTGTTTTTAAAAATTAATAATAATAATTGTCTTCTTTTTTTTCCTATTATATTAGATATCTTGATTTTTTATGCATGTGTACTATTATTTAAAAATACAAAATAAATAACCACACGATGTGGTGCGGTTGATAAATTGCCACCTCCAGCTGGCGAGCTATCTAGTGCCTCAATGGCAGGAGTTTGAAACTCGTTACAAGCACTTTGTGGCTAAGGGAAAGCCGAACTTCAAGCGGGAATTAATCCTACCCTTCGAGTGTGGGGACATCTCGTAGTATTTACCAAAAAAAAATACAACATAAATGAAAACGTCATATGTTTTCTTTTACTACTCCCTCTTCCTATTATCAAGAACCGAAAAAAAAGTATAATTTTTACAAAGAAACATTACGGATTGAAGGGAAATAAATTGCTGTAAACAATATGATGTTGAATTTTTATGCAAATGAGTACAGTGAAATTACCATATTGTGCTTCATTACATAATCAAGTATTGCCCTAGCTTAGGTAATGAAGGGATAATAGAGATAGTATGAAAATAATGACATCTTTACTTATTTAGAATCGGAAGTCCTTGGTTGTATAAATCATTATGAATATAAGATAAAATGAATGTGTATAAGGACTCATTTGAGAGTGATTCTGAATAGACTAAAAACACTTTTGTGGAGAAACATATGGGAGGTGCTTATTCTTAGAATCACTTAAAATTACTAAAAGTTTTCTAAATAATCACTTTAAGTGATTTTGTGGAAAAACACATGGGAGGTGCTTCTTCCTAGAATAACTTAGGGGCAATTTAGCATTGTGTGTTATGAAAATAATTGCTATTAGATTTGCTGTGAGAGAAATCAGCTGTGAGATAAAGCAGTTTGGTGTTTGGTCAAATTTTTGTTAAAAGTATTGTTGATACTGATTCCCACATAATCAAAAACTAATTCCAGCATAATCATTAAACCTAGCGCCTCTTCGAAACTGATTCCCGCATAATTAAAAAATGAAAGAACCTCATTAGCCGCTTTCTCTTATAGCTTTCTCTCACAGCAATTTTTAACAATAAGTAATTTTCTCATAGTTTACCAAAAGGGTTGACCTTCCCAAATTTTTTAAAAAATCACTTATCACCCAAAATAAGCAATGCCAAACAAAGACTTAAAATTACTAAAAGTGATTATATAGATGATTCTACATAAAAGTGATTATTGACAACTCCGAAATCACTCCTAAATAAGCCCTAAGAATAATTGTGTCACGACTCGACTCTCCTAGCAAGATATTGTCTGCTTTGGGCCTCCCCCCTAACGGTTTTGTTTTTGGGCTCAAGCTAATGCTATATTGCCCAAAAGGCCTCTTGCTAGGAAAAGAAGTGCTTACACATATAAAACACTTCACCTTTCTCTCCCCGAGTGATGTGGGATTGCTTACCATTCTTGTTTCCCCAAGACACAGGTCTTACAAATTGTCATTAATCAATCTAATCCACGGTCAGCCCTAGCCCTGGGCTCCAAGGGCAACTACCCACAATCTCATATTAAGAGGCTCTACATGTTTTTTTTTTGGGTGGTAAATACCACATGATGTCTCCACACCCAAAGGGTGAAATTAATCCCCGCTCGGGTGTTCGGTTTGCCCCTGGCCACAAAGTGCTTCCAATGGGTTTTGAACCCCTGCCATTAAGGCACCATGTAACTTTCCAGTTGGAGGTAACAATTTGCCAACCACACCACACTTTGTGGTTCAAATGTTTTTCATACATGTATGTATTATATATAAGAAAATTTTAGTAACACTCAATAAAATGGAAAATAATTAGGATATTGTAAATGGACTAGTTCTGTTTTGGACTAAGTCATCAATTTTTGAATTTTTGTTAGCTTGATGTTTAATTTGTATTTTAAATTACTTTTCTATCCTTTTATAACCAAAAACACCCCCAAAATCCCAAAAAAAAAATCACACAATTTATTCTGAGATCCGATCAGATCCATCGACCCTCAATGTTGAACCCAACCCCACCACCGATCCTTCCAGTCTCAACCACCGCAACCTCTGGTGGCTCCGCCCAAGCCCAAGGCCCGAGCGCCCCCCCGGCCTTTCGCACCTTCTTCAACTGCCTCTCTCACGCGCCGTTGATCCACTAGGCTAGGCTTCCAGCAGATGATTTGTATGTTCCAGTGCTCAGATTTTGGTGTGGTTTTTGTTCATCTCCACCACCTGTCACATGTTAGGAAATAATCCAGTCTAAAACAAATTTTGCCATAATCAGCAGGCATATGTTAGGAAATAAGAAATCAATTTGCAGTAACAAAAATATATACATATTTTGCTAAGTCTAAAACAGATTAAGCCATAATCAGAAGGGTGTCATTATTAATCCTATAGTTATCTGCTTTAGTTGAAGCAGTACAAGCCTGAGGCTTAATATCTCCACGTTGATCATGTTGATCATTGTTTACCCCATAGCCATATCCCAGCTTGGAAACAACGACAGTTTTTGCAGAGAATGCCTTGTCTGTGTAGCTGCTCTGCTCATTTCAAGGTTGTGGACACCATTTTATTGAAATAAATGGTCGCGCGGCTATACAATTAATATTTAAAGAGTACAGCCGCGCGGCTATACTATTTAATATTCAAATATATTTAAAGAGCGTGGCCGCGCGCTTATACTCTTTAAACATATTTGAATATTAAATGGTATAGCCGTGCGGCTATACTGTTTAAATATATTCGAATATTGCTATACTATTTAAATATATCAGCATTAGCTTTTCATGTCCCAGATCGTATTTCCGATGCTTGGTGGATTGCGACACAAGACCCTGACGGAGCCCAGCTTGATTTGCCTAAAGAACTTACCGAGGTTAGTTTCTGTTCATATAGGTATGTCGTGTTGATAGAATGTACATATCATTTTTTGATGATATCCACTCTCAGGAATCTGTTGGTTTCATGGACAACACACAAATATGACTTTAAAGTTGGTGCAGGTTCAACATCTGCAAACAAGCAAAGTGATCATAAAAATGAAACTGCATATGTAGAAGAACATTCCCCAAATGTTAAGGTTGAAGATCAGATGATGGAAACAAAGATTTGATGAGAACAACACCTGTTCGACATTCAGCAAGAACTGCCAGAAAACGATTCAAGTAGCTTCATTTGTGCTGCATTACCATATTTGCCTTTTCAGACCTGTCTGATATACCTATGAGTAAGTGGTTCTTATCATCCAAAAGAAAAAGGGGAAAAAAAATGGATGAAACATATTGCAAATAGTTACAAAGGGCACTGATGCCTAATGTCCATTCTGAAGTCACTTATTGAAGACATGAATGCACTCATTGCTCTTCAGCAGATGAGTTGTTGTGTGGGAATGTCGTGTAGCCTCTATGGATATCACTAGTGCGAAGAATGAATATATAAACTATTAGACGATTATCTCCATGATATGTTGTAGTACCTTTAGTTAGATTATCATAGATAATTAACCATTTTGATATATTTTCTTTTTGCTGAAGAATAATACAAGAAAAGAGAGTGCTTGTTGATCGTCCAGAAGGCACACACTTTCCTGTGATGCGTCCACACATGCTTCAGTAAGAGAAAGAATTCGGATTTGATGGTTAAATGAGTTTAAGACAATGTTTATCAGGAACCATTCAAAATTCCTGTGCATGTTTTCTTCTAATTCAAATGTAATTAAGCGCCAATGAGGTCTAGCCTAGTAAAACAGGGTCTTGACTTGCATACTAGTGGTCTCAATTTTGAATCCCCATGGCATCATATGGTAGTGTGTGTGTGTGTGTGAGAGAGAAACTCCCCTCCCCTCTAGTTTAGACTATTGCTTGTACTAAGAAAAATGTATGTATATGTATGATATTATTAGCCTAATCGACAAAGTTCCAAATGGCAGAATATACAGAAGACAACTTACCTCCTATATACGCAGCATAGAGTAGGGATGCCCAAAGATCAGGTACCAAAGTAGACAAAGCTACTAGGCACAATCCTCGACCAAACAACTAGGTTTGAAAAGGTTTAAGATATGAGAACATTTTTTTCTTAAAATAATGTCAAATTCTGAAACCTCTACCAACCTAATTAGTAGGAAATCTAAAACTAAGACTGTTTATCATTAAATAACCAATGAACCCAACAAGAAAGAATTGCTCTATGTGTCGCGAACAAGTAAGAAAAAATAATTCGAATGAGGGACAAAAATGAATGAATAGATATGAGATTTGCTTCATCCGAAGAGGGGCAAAAATCATTTGTTTAAGATGAAACCAGAGGATAACCATTTTGGCCTTATTTGGTGCCTCGATGTTTACTGGATTGAAATTGAATCCAAACTAATCCTTATAAACCTCATCATTTTATATGGAATTTGTAAGACATAATATATTAATTGTTGTCTAATTTACTAAGTTCATTCCAAACATTTATAAATTCACTAAACAAGGATCATTGATCAATACATTAGTCCAATCCAAACGAAGCAGCCAGAACATTAGTGCAATCAAGGCCAAGCTTATTTCCTCAAGTTTGGATCAAGATATGGACATGTTTGCTTCCACATCATTCTCAAGTAAACAAACATAATCAGCCAAGTGGCCTTGCCAATCATTCATTGGTTCATTAATCAGACCGGATATATTGACGTCGTATTCAAACATTATAAGAACAACACAAGGCCAAAATTCCCAAATTAGCCCCAGTAAATTCCCTTTAGAGTCCTTTCACATTAGAGCGGTCTAAAAAATCTTACAAGTTCCAAGTTACAGCGGTAACTCCAACGATCCTTTTTTTTTCTTCTCGTTGCGGTAGATCCCAAAATTCAAACTTTCACAGCGGTAAAACCCATGATTCCATTTTTCTACAGCGGTTAATTCCCAACTATGATCGAAAACTACAGCAAAGGGTACAAAAGGTATTTCACTTTATTTTCTTGCATTTGATTAGACAACGCAGAGAGGACATATCGTATGCAATGATGTAATGAAATTTACAATAAGAGGAAGCAGAAATATTGCTGTGACCATTTCTCCAAGTATTTTAATGTTGTTGTCGTTAAAAACAATCAAGCCTGCAAGGCTTCAACGGCGACGTTTTGTCACTTTGTTATTCGTCGACTTCTCGAGCTCCCAGATTCTTCAGCTAACCCATCATTATAAAGCCACCGCCACCTCGTGCTCAGACGGTTTCAATCAGAGACTGAAGCAAAAGCCGATCAATGGGTTTACGCGCGCAAAACGACGGCGTCCGGGGCAGGAGGAAATCATCGACGAGAGGCCACCACAGGTTCGTGGGCGTTCGACAGAGGCCATCGGGGAGATGGGTCGCCGAGATTAAGGACTCTCTGCAAAAGGTGAGGCTTTGGCTCGGGACTTTCGACACAGCGGAGGACGCCGCTCGAGCCTACGACGACGCGGCTCGAGCGCTGCGCGGTGCGAACGCCCGAACCAACTTCGAATTGCCCCAATCGACCAATGGGTCCGGCCATGCCAATGGCGGTGCCGGCGTGGCCGAAAATGTGGAGCCTTTTTCGTTTGAGGCTGTGTGTGGAAATGGGGCTGAAGCCGATGGGTTGCTTGGCGCGCTCAGGGCTAAGCTGCTCGACGGCAAAGGGTGTGTGGTTCCGCAACCACGGGGGAATAATGGTGGTGCCAAGATGGAGCCGTCTCCTATTGGTCCACGTGGCGTGGTGGGTTTTGTGAACCCGAACCGGCATCCTTCTTCATCCTGGTCGGCGAAGGAGGATCCGATTGTGTTAGATATTAACGGTCATGATCATCGGTGGGGTCATCATCAAGCTCAGCCTAGTCACACAGCATCAAACCAGAGCATAGCTTGGAGCAATGAGTCTCCAGCATTAGCATATGACCAAGTGCCCAATTGGTCAACATGGTCAACGCAAACTGATTCATTTACAGAGCAGTGCCCTATGGAGCTGCCATTGCAAATCACAAGCCTTGCTGGGGATGGTAAAGTGACAGCGGCGAGCACACAGCAGCTGTCACAGATTGATGGGTCAGCAATTTTGGGGTCATCAACTTCAGGTGCTTGGTCTTCAGACCAGCAGCAGTTTTTGCACTGTGACAACAATTGGGCGGCAGGTGGTGCAAATGCCTCTTGGGACCCACTCTTCTATGCATCCTCTGTTCTGGGGTGATAGACATAGATGAGATCATATCATATAAAAATTAATTAAATTTTTTTTCTTTCTTTTAGGTGTTTTTAACAATGCCTTTTTAACCTTACGAGCTAAGTCTTCTTTGCAGGCTAATCATTCTTTAATGCGTGTGTGCCCCCAATAATAAATTATGTACCCTACTTCCCCTCTTTGTTTGTGTGTTGCAGTAGTGAGTGACAATTATGTAAATGTATTAAATGGCTCTAGTTAATCAGGTTTAACATGTATTGATCCTTGGTTACCAGAACTCTACTTTCTTTTGTTTCCATGATTTTAACTTGACCCAAAACAAAAAATTTATAAATTTGCCTAGTCAATGACCATCCTGCACAGAAATTTGTCCTGAAAATGCCAACTACAGCTTAACTAGTTACATAAAAAATCCTATTCGATTGAACTAAACACCTAAAGCAATGCTTCTTGTAGGAAGTGGATAGCATATGCTAGTTTTGCGTGTGCGCTGCCTATGGCCGTGAAGGGAAAGAGGAAGAAGGGCCCTGCAAAAATTAAAAAAAAAAAGAACGCAAAAAGGTGTGAACAGAAAGTTCACTCGAGCTCGTAGAAGAAAAATTATTCTCACCAGAAGGCATCATTCTCACATTTTGACCATTTTATTCGTGATTACCGCCTGCGCCACCTTGCTTTCATAATAATCGACCTCCTTTTTTTCCCCAATTGATAATCCTCCCAGCGAAGTTCTTCGTGACTTTTGTCTTTATATACTGGCATTGCTGATATTGACTCCAATTTTGCAGCAGTAGCCCCACTACCACCATCTGGTTCTGGAGTTTCTGTATATGCAGCCACTCTACTACCCCCACGTTGTTGGCCCCCAAAAGCTGACTGCCCAAAGGTATTGTTCCCCAATGGTGTTGGCTGCGCTCCTGCATCACAAATTATAAGAATATAATACAGATACAATGACACAAAGCAAAATGAGGCATTCCTTGACTTTAATGAAAGACAATAAGATATTCCTTGACCAGCAAAAACATTAGTCCAGTTTTTCTTTCAAAATGTACCACCACTCATATACATCTAAACTCACTCACCGAATGGAGTACTTTGTGCTCCAAATGGAGATGAGGCACTACCAAATGTAGAATTTGATTGGCCAAAAGCAGGAGCTGATGTAAAGCTGAAAGATGAACCAAAAGATGATGAACTGAATGCTGTAGACGATGTTCCAAAGCCAGTAGAAGGGAAGGATGGGATTTTTGGAGAAAACAAATTTGGTGCAGTTGCGGTATTAAAAGGACTTGTAGATGCTTGAGGAAATGATGATGCAGTATTCAAAGAGTTCGGTTGTGACGCAGACATGCCAAAGCCACTCCCACCAGCAGGAGCTGGACCACCTGGAAGTTAAAATTATAATGTTCAGAACCTAATAAACGTCATAATTTCTGACAACCATGGCAACTTTTCTAATAACTAGCAACATACCTTTATCTCCCAATTGATAATCCTCCCAGCGAAGTTCTTCGTGACTTTTGTCTTTATATACTGGCATTGCTGATATTGACTCCAATTTTGCAGCAGTAGCCCCACTACCACCATCTGGTTCAGGAGTTTCTGTATATGCAGCCACTCTACTACCCCTACGTTGTTGGCCCCCAAAAGCTGACTGCCCAAAGGCATTGCTCCCCAATGTTGTTGGCTGAGCTCCTGCATCACAAATTATAAGAATATAATACAGGTACAATGACACAAAGCAAAATGAGGCATTCCTTGACTTTAATGAAAGACAATAAGATATTCCTTGACCAGCAAAAACATTAGTCCAGTTTTTCTTTCAAAATGTACCACCACTCGTGTATATCTAAACTTACTCACCAAATGGAGAACTCTGTGCTCCAAACGGAGATGAGGCACTACCAAATGTAGAATTTGATTGGCCAAAAGCAGGAGCTGATGTAAAGCTGAAAGATGGAGTACTGGATGAACCAAAACAAGGAGCACTTAACGCACCAAAACCTGGATTGCTTGAAGTACCAAAGGTGGATCCGGATGAACCAAAAGCTGGGGTGCTTGAAGCCCCAAATGCTCCCGTAGATCCAAACACCGAAGAATTTGACACCCCGAATGCAGATCCTGTGCTTCCAAATGTAGGACTTGTTGTGGAACCGAAGGCCGGACTGCCTGTAATACAGATACAATGACACAAAGCAAAATGAGGCATTCCTTGACTTTAATGAAAGACAATAAGATATTCCTTGACCAGCAAAAACATTAGTCCAGTTTTTCTTTCAAAATGTACCACCACTCGTATATATCTAAACTTACTCACCAAATGGAGAACTCTGTGCTCCAAACGGAGATGAGGCACTACCAAATGTAGAATTTGATTGGCCAAAAGCTGGAGCTGATGTAAAGCTGAAAGATGGAGTACTGGATGAACCAAAACCAGGAGCACTTGACGCACCAAAACCTGGATTGCTTGAAGTACCAAAGGTGGATCCAGATGAACCAAAAGCTGGGGTGCTTGAAGCCCCAAATGCTCCCGTAGATCCAAACACCGAAGAATTTGACACCCCGAATGCAGATCCTGTGCTTCCAAATGTAGGACTTGTTGTGGAACCGAAGGCCGGACTGCCTGTAATACAGATACAATGACACAAAGCAAAATGAGGCATTCCTTGACTTTAATGAAAGACAATAAGATATTCCTTGACCAGCAAAAACATTAGTCCAGTTTTTCTTTCAAAATGTACCACCACTCATATATATCTAAACTTACTCACCAAATGGAGAACTCTGTGCTCCAAATGGAGATGAGGCACTACTAAATGTAGAATTTGATTGGCCAAAAGCAGGAGCTGATGTAAAGCTGAAAGATGGAGTACTGGATGAACCAAAACCATGAGCACTTGACGCACCAAAACCTGGATTGCTTGAAGTACCAAAGGTGGATCCAGATGAACCAAAAGCTGGGGTGCTTGAAGCCCCAAATGCTCCCGTAGATCCAAACACGGAGGAATTTGACACCCCGAATGCAGATCCTGTGCTTCCAAACGTAGGACTTGTTGTGGAACCAAAGGCTGGACTGCTTGTAGCCCCAAAGGCTGGGGGGTTGCTAGTAGCTCCAAAGGCCGGGGTACTTGTAGCACCAAATGCTGGGGTGCTTGTAGCACCAAACGCTGGGGTGCTCGTAGCACCAAAGGCTGGGGTGCTCGTAGCACCAAAGGCTGGACTACTTGTACCACCAAAGGCTGGGGTGGTGGTAGCACCAAATGCTGGCTGACTTGATCCACCAAATGGTGTGGTGGAACCAAATATTCCGCTCCCAAATGCTGGCTGTGATGGCTGAGTTGTGCTTCCAAAAGGACTTGGTTGAGCAGTATTGGACCCAAATGCTTCAAAAACAGGCTTCTGACCAAAACCAGATGAACCTGTTGAGAGAGTGAGAATCATCAGTGACAACATGTTATCCAAATAACAAAGATTTGGGCACAGAGAGATGAATGAAAATGAATAACATGTTCACCAAATAACAAAGCAATTTTGTAGATTACGCATCCATTATAATTATATGTAGATTGTTGATGAGCTTCTAAAATGGAGGTGACCTCAGCAAGCAAAAGAAAACACACACTGGTGCAAGACAAATATATAAAGCTGCAAGTATAGATTAAGAAGTAAAGCTCCGCTAATTGAGGAGAACAAATGTCTGCTTAAAATACAAGATGAAACCAATCCCTCACGTGAAAACCAGAGCACCTAAAGATATAATAATCATACCTCTTCCACTCTCAAAGTCTTAATTACACTCGTGATATTTCTTAGTGACATTTCTTAATACTTGAACCCTAGTCCTCTATTATAGACATTCAATCTAATCCAATACATGTGTGCATGCATCAAATAACCAGAAACCTAAACAATAATCTATTTACTTACACACAAAAAAGAAAGATCATCCAAATTCATCTGGTAAGGAAATAAGTCCGCGGCATGACAACAACAAAATACAGTCAAAGTTCCAGCCCAATAAAAAATTTGTTTCGCAAGTCAGCTGTTAGACCCCATCTCATACAGAAGTCCTTTACAAGTTAGCACGGCATCAGAAATGTATACTGAACAAAAAATTTGACAACAACATAGCCATCTCACACAGAAAGCAAAATCCACTTATAAATGCTCAATAACCTCATAAATTTCCAAGAAAACTCAGTATAAACCTGAAGGGTATTAAAAATGATAGGGACATTGTAAACAAATTTCTAATAACCGTATTTCACAGTAATTACATTAAAATGAATCACTTGAAAGGTGGTGAGGGAGCACAAAATGTAGAAATTTAAACTAACTCAATCAACTTACCACCAAATGGTGATGGTGAACTATTGAAAGCCGGACTAGAAGCCGCTCCAAAAGCAGGAGTTGTATTTCCAAAAGCTGGTGAGGATGAAGCACTGAAGGTCGTTGAGGAAGAAAAAGGTGAAGAAGATTGAGCTGCACCAAATACACCAGTTGAAGTGCCGCCAAATATGGAACTCCCCGTTTGGGCACCAAACGGGATTGTGCTACCAAAAGGCTTGGGAACAAAAGGATTGTTACTTGTGTTGCTGGTCTGCCCAAAGACTGGTTGGGATGCAAACGGGCTGCTAGATGACTGCCCAAAAGCTGCTAAACAATGTTCCACACATTGAATTATTAATTTTCGTGAGGAAAAAAATTACCAATCACAAAGATTCTTCAGGGAGTAAAAGCAGCACTAACAGAACACCAGATAAACATAAACATAATCATAGCCCAAAACTGATAGTAAATGCATGTCATGTTCATCTTAGAATGAAACAAATAAAACAGGAATGACCAATTACAGGCCCTATATGCATCTTTAAAATTCATAGTCTTAAAATCACCACCAAGTTCGTAGGACCAGAAGGAGAATTTCATGAAGAAAAGGATAGTCCTCATAGAACTATCACCAACAATTTATTAGGGGCCTGGAAGACATTGAAAAACAGTTGCCCTGAAACAAAGAAAACTGCAAGGGGGAGAAAGATAAAATTAAAAAAAAATAGTTTGGAGCATTATACAAGTACGTGTGAGCAAGCACACACAAAAATGCACAGAAGAAGGAAGGAACAAATAAAATTACACTCGTGGTTGGCGTTGTTCGAAAGAAAACAACAGTAAAAGAAAGATCATCCAAATAACAAAGTAATCGGGCACAGAGAGATAATTGGAAATGAATAAAACTACCAATACATGTTATTCAATCTAATCCAATACATGTGTGCATGCAGAAACCTAAACAATAATCTATTTACTTAAATAAAAAAGAAAGATCATCCAAATTCATTTGGCAAGGATAGAAGTCCACAACAAGTCCTTTATGCCCCTGGTTGCCACATAGAGAAAGATATAGACAGAGGGGCGGAGTGTGGATGCGCTGGGGAAGAAGGTGGTTGGAAGCTGAAGAAGGAGCAGAGCTTCAAGAACAGAAACTCCTCCCCCAATGAAAAACAAAAATGATTTCAACAATACAGAGATTACACAAACTCAAAGCTTTGAAGCAAACCACACTCTACAACAAGTTAACAACTACAAAATTACACATGGGAACCTCTTCCGCATTGCTCACAGAGCTCAGTACAATCAGCTACAACAAACCCATAGAAGTGGGAGAAAGGGACCCAAGAGAATTTTTAACCAAAAAAACCATTTAAAAAAGTACCTTTGACTGTCGTGGAGGTGGGGCTGGGCGAGGAGAGAGAGAATGGTGGTGGTTGGGTGGGGGTTGTCGGGTGGGGCGTGGTGGGTGGAGATGGGAGGAGGTGGGGATTTTGTTGGGGGGGGGGGCTGCCCTGCGAGAGAAAGAGGGAGGATTGAATTTGTAAGTTTTTTTATTTTTAAATTGAAAATTAAAAAAATTTAATGAATATTTTATTCAACCTCAGTAAAAGGACAGTTCTAGCCTTGGACTGTTAAGTTGATCTTGCTAGGCCATCTCTAGTCATAGGGCTAATGTAGGCCGGGACTAAAAATTTAGCCCTCCCAAATATTAATTTTTTAAAGAATAGTGCATAGCTAAATTTTTCCATCTCCAAGCATGCATGGCTATATTTTAGAGACTTTCATATTTTATTATTTTGAGAAAAACTATAGTACAACGCTCATATATTCCACAATTATGTATTGTTTAATTTAATTAAACTATGATTTAGAGATAATATTTTTTAATCTATATATTTATAAAAAAAAAATGATTTTAAAACATTTTAAAAGGTTTTAAATAAATAAATAACTTTTCAATCAATGGTTCTAACCTCCAACGATCAGAAACCAATTATATATATATAAAACAAAACGAATTTAAAAACATTTAAAAAGGTTATTAAAAATAAAAATAAAAACCTAATGGCTAGCTTACGTTATCGATGACGTCAACGCGCCTTTTAATATTGGCTGTTGAATCTGCAGTTGCACAAGATGTTTCGTGCTCTTGCCCACTCATGATACTTTATCATCTTGAAAAGCATATGTGCTAAGCCCACAAAAAATTTGGTCTAGGCCAAAGCTGGGCTACATTTGGCCTAGTTGGAGGGCTAAGGGCCAAATGCGGCCCTCCAAATTTGGCCAAAAATGTTTTTAGCCCAAGGCTGGAGATGAATTCTGCATTATTTTAGGACCATATTTAGCCTATGGCTGTGGCTGGAGATGGCCTTAGATTTAGGGGGTGTGACTGTAATAAATGAAACCTGTGGAGTCTGGCTGTAATTATGACAAACTTCAGGGTATCTAAATGAAATTCTCCCTTAAGAAAAATAACATAGAAAACAATTATTCAAATATGGAATGAATTGAAAAACACAGTTACGAGGAAACAAAATCAAACTCAAGGAGTCAAGGTCTTCATAAAAAAATCAGACTCAAGGATCAAATAAAAGATAGAGAAAAGAAGCTCACAGTTAGTAGAACCAAACATCTTCTCTTACGATTCTGTATTCAAAATCAGGGCTAGATTTGTCGATCCCAAGCTGAAACAGAAATAGAACACAAATTCATCACAAAATAACAAGGCAACGAGAATCCAATTATGCGAGAAATCGCTAAAACACAAGCCGAATTAACGCGAGCCATTGCAGAAATCAGAAAACCAGAGCATCAATACAATACAGCAGAAATTAAACGCAATCGTAAGCCTGATAAACAGACTAAAAGTGAAGGCAAGGGTTTTCGAAGTACCTGAAAGTGAGCTAAAGCGATGGAGAAGACGAATGTGGAAGTAAGGTTTCGAAAAAGGAACTGAGCCGTCGAAAGTGATGAAATGGAAAGATAAAGGGAGAGAGGAAAGATGGCTTGGCTTGCAACATTCCAAGTCTCGCGCGCCAATGTCATGTCAGAATTGGAGAAGCCAAAAGCTATTTACTTTACACTGGCAAAAAAGAAAAGAACAGAAAAAAAATAGAGAAGGGAAATTGGGTAAAATGGAACACACGCTCAAATATTTAGGCTTATTTGTTGAAATGCCCCAGTGGTTTCAAATAATCTCAATTTACCGTATAATGTTTTAAATGACTCAATCTCCCCATGAACTTTCATTATGTGACCAAGGTTGCCTCATTCTATGTGTTTTCAGATAAAAATCGTTAAATCAATGTGACATGGGTATTTTGGTATATTTAACTATTAAAAATTAAAATTAAAATTAAATATAAAAAAATGCTTGAAATTATTTAAAATGTTTAAAAATATATATAATAAAAATAAATTAGGAATAACTTTATTTGTTGAAATACCCCATGTGGTTTCTAAATAGTCTCAATTTGCCCCTTGAACTTCCATTTTGTGACCAAGGTTCCCCATTCCGTTAGTTTTCAAATAAAAACCGTTAAATTCAATGACGTGGCATGGATATTAGATGACCTCAAGTACAAATTCGATCAAATGCAACTCAACTCCTTTCAATTTTAACAATGGAACACCACCATATATTAAGTTAACTATTGGTCATATATATACAATCGAAGTAGTTTGGATTTTTCAATGGAATACCACCAAAATTTCTTATCACGTTCGATACTAGTATGCCGAATGTGGGCATGGGCTAAGCCAATATCAAGGCCCATTACACAATAAACCAAATTAAGGAAGAATAATAATGAAAAAACTACTTTATGGCCCGGAAATAATGACGTGGCGGTGGAAAGCCAACAACTCGTACAAGTTTGTTGGAGTTGAAAAACCAATGGAACTGTCAGTAACCACTAGCAAACTCATATGATCTACAAAGGCCATTGATAAGAAAACGGTGAAGGGCCATCTAGAGAGAGAGAGAGAGAGAAACAAACAAGGAGAAAATTGACCAAAAACAAACAAACAAACAAGGATTTCGATGAAGGAGCAAGAGGACTAGCACTGATCGAATCCATGCATTGCCAGAAGAAAAAGGAAAGAGAGAAGGAAAAAGGAGAGAACAGAAAAGAGAGAAAGAGGAAAAAGAAGAGATGAGAAAAAAAGAATTAAAAAGGAAGAGAAAAGAAAAGAGAAAAAGAGAAAAACAAAGAGAGGAGAAAGAGTGATGGGAGAAAGAAGAAGAAGAAAAGAAAACAGAAAGGTTGGTTCAATTAGTAAGGTGCAAGCTGTGCGTTGACCCCCAACCGAGTTCGATACCATGAGAGTATAGCCGTTCTGCAATACCATTTTTTAATAATAAAAACACAATCATATAGCTGCACGGCTATACTATTTATTATAAAAAAATTATAAAAAAAGGACCCATCTATTTGCATTAGTTTATACTTTATAGATATTAATTTGCTAGTTTCGATATATATACTTTATAGATTTAATTTTTTTAATATATATTATTTTTATTCAACATTATGTGAAAATTATTTGTATAATACATAAATTTTGTGTGTATTATTGAAAATTTTGTAAAAAATCAAGTGTATTAAACATGAAAAATACATATGTATGTGTAAAATACGAGTATTAAACATGAAAATGCTAAATTCTTTATACGGGTAGTAACTCTGGAAAAGTAAAAACACAAAAATGGACAATAGAAACTCAGCTAATGGCCTAATAGTAATGGATAATGCTCTAAACTATCTATAAACAAAAATAAGTAAAATATATATATATATTTTTAAAAATAATAAGATCACAGTAGCTATGTAAAGAGTATCGCTGCACGGCTATATTATTTTTTTTTTAAACTTGAAAAAAAAAAGACGCCTCACAGTAGCTATGTAAAGAGTATCGCTGCACGGCTATATTATTTTTTTTTTAAACTTGAAAAAAAAAAAGACGCCAAATCCAGAGTATAGCCGAGCGGCTATACGGTTTGAAAAAAAGCCCGCCCAGTGCCCGACTAGCAATTCGGCGACACGTGTCAAGACAGTATAGCCGCACGGCTATACCATTTTTTAATAATAAAAAATATAGTATAGCCGGCCGGCTATACTCTTTAAGCATATTATATTTATATTTAAAAGGCTTATAGCCGATCGGTTATACTATTTATGAAAAAAAAATAAAATACCTATATAACCGCTCGGCTAAACGCTAAACGACCACAGTAAAGCCGTATACTCTTTTTTAGGAAAAAATTTCGGAGTATAGCCGCACGGCTATACTATTTGGAAAAAGAGAGGACCCACCTAGCGCTAGCTCCCAACTAGCGATTCGGCGACACGTGTGAAGGCCGTATAGCCGCCCAGCTATACTATTTAAAAAAAAAATTAAAACACGGTAGTATAGCCGATCAGCTATACTATTTTTACGTATATTATGAGGAGTATAGCCGCTCGGCTATACGATTTATTAAAAAATATATATATATAAAACATGGACCCTTCTATTTGCATTAGTTTATACTTTATAGATATTAATTTGCTAGTTTCGATATATGTACTTTATATATTTAAATGTTTTAATATATTTTATTTTTAATCATTATTATGCAAAATTTATGTGTATAATACCAGAATTTTGTATGTGTTATTTAAAATTTTGTAAAAAACCAACTGTATTAAACATGAAAAATATGTACGTACGTGTACAATACGAGTATTAAACGTGGAAATGCTAAATTCTTTATGGGTAGTAACTGGGGAAAAGTAAAAACTCAAAATGAAATAATAAAGACTCGGGTAATGGCTTAATAGTAATGGATAATGCTCTAAACTATTGATAAACAAAAATGGGGAAAAAAACAATTTTTGAAAAAACAGATCACAGTATATATGTAAAAAGTATAGCTGCGTAGCTATACTATTTTTAAAAAAAATTACCCCAATAAAGCCGCGTAGCTATATGCTTTTTAAAAAGCGCGACTACACGATTTGTACAGCAGGTGGTGCAAATGCCTCTTGGAACCCACTCTTCTATGCATCTGGGGTGATGGATGAGATCATATCATATAAAAATTAGGCTTATTATCATAAAACGTCCCTGACGTTTGCAAAATTATCACATTGCATCCCTAATGTTTTTTTGTATCATTAATGGTCCCTAACGTTAATACATGTACTCTTAAATAGTCCTTCTGTCAAAAGAACCGTTAAATCTAGGGGTATAATCGTCAAATCAATCCAAAATTAAAAAAAAAAAAATTCTTCCCTTCTCTCTCTCTCTGTTTCTCTTTTTTTTTTCTCCTCTCTTTCCTCCT